TGATTTGGTGATATAATTTGTCAAATTCCAAATATTGTGATTAGACAAATTCGAGTAAAGTTGAGATATTACATGAAATATAGCGGCGTGGAAAAAAAAAGAATTAAGACAATTGTTATACATCATCACTTTTCTGTTTTCCCTTGGAAATGTCATATTTCAATAACAGATTATTTAATTTCATTTACCGTTTTGCAAAGATATTAAAGTAGTGAGAAATTGTGAGAATTTGACGAAGTTCAAAAAACCGCATTTAAAATACAAATTCACGTTAATTTCATTAATCGTTTTGCAAAAAAAAACTGAGATGATAATAATTTGTCAAAATTCAGAAGTCGTGATGAAAATACAAATTCGTATAGATGTGTGAATTAAATGCTCCTTAATAGAAGTACATATAATTCTTTTGTCTCTCAAAAACTTTTTCAGTACTTCCACAAATATGAATTATGGTAATGGATCAGAATAGGATTCATTCACAACGTACAAAACTATCACAACAACTTCAAGATCTCATTCTAATCCATACCAACCACATTAACTTAGATTTTTTAAGCAGAGTAGGCAATCAAACCACAATAGCAAAAGAACACTACCAAAATAGACAAAACTACCCCTAAAGCACAACAACCTAACCCGACCCTATCAACCACGCCTTCTGCAATAATTAGTGCCATCACCTCCCGTGAGACGACAATGGAAGTTCAGCAGAGGCAGAGAATCTATTTCGGGCACGAATAACGATGAGTCAAACGGGTCTTGGACTTTACGGGCCAAGAGGAGCCCAGATAATGTTGGTGGTGAGGGAACTTCATGTACGGCCCAATTCGAGTCTTGGGCCTCGAAATCTCCATCGGAGAGGAGCAATCCGAGTCCCTTGCTTCCCGCTATCGGCCTGCAGGGAACTTTGCACACGTTAAGTTTAACTAACAATTATTTTTTCAAGAAGAACCATGGAAGGATTATATGAATGTATGTATAGCAAACAAGACTTGATTTGAATCAAGAATCACCCCTAAAGCTGGATTTTATGCCACTAAGCACAAATGAGGTCATAATAGAATACTTGTAATTTCACATTCAAAATCAAGAACCCATTATACCTTTTAAGACATTCATTTCTCTCTCTCTCTCTCTCTCTCATTGAAGTGCTTTGAATTTTTGCATATGTGAAGTGGAATTCTGTAATGTTTTCTCACCTGGAAGTTCTTTTAAGTGTTAGCATCAATGGTCTGAAAAAAAGCTCCATTTTTCTGCATTTCATGTTTTTTCCCATTATCATTAACTTAACTTTTATTTTTCTCATACTTTCTTCCTTTCACGCAATGATGTGATTCAAACAAACTAAATCCAACAACAGGATACAACCAATCGAAACATCCCGAACACACAACTAACTAACTAACTAACTACCTGCACAAACAAAAAA